GATTCTCGAGTCTTCGCCGGGCTTGACCCACGATGTAGTCCTTGAGCCCCCGCAGCTCTTCCTGTCTGATGTGATTAAACGTAGCATCTCCAAACATAATGCTGGGGACTGGAAAGAGGTGGCTCTAAGGGTGATTGCTCTCAGCGGTACTTACAACCCCGTGAGAGGGACACATAATATGTAAGCAAAGGCATGGGTGCCTAAGCCAGTGTGGTAGTTCTAACATACTCCAGGGAATTATGAGACAGTCTCTCACTTCTGAGTTGAGCACAGAGAAAATAAGCATTGAATCACTTGGGGGAAAAACAAAGGCATTAATAGTTTATAACTTGCTGAAATATAGAAAAGAGCTACGAGGTGCGCCTGGATGGCTCAGTCGGTTAACCATCTGACTTAGTTAGGCTCAGGTCATGATCTCCCAGCTGGTGAATTCAAGCCCGTGGTAGGGCTCTGTGCTGACAGCTCAGAGCAGGGAGCCTGCCTCAGATTTTGTATCTCCCTCTCTCTCTACTCCTCCCCAACTGGAGCCCTGTATCTCTCTCAAAAAATAAAATAAACATTTAAAAAAAATTTTTTTAAGCTACGAAAATCACATTGAAAGAGTTGTTTTCAGCAGGGATGATTAGACAATATTCAAACAACTCTACCTGCAAAGCTTGGGAGGATATATACAGCAAAAAGTATTGTACTAGACAGTTTTAACTGAATATATGTTATTTAATCCTCACAACCACCTTGGGGGCCGGATTCATGTACTTATTTTATAGAAAGATGTTGATGACGCAAGATGCACCAAGGTTGAACATGGGATAAACTGGCTCAAAGCCTATGATCCTCCTCTTCCATTTTGGCTTCTGGTCCAAATTAAGATTTGAACTCCTGAGTTCTAGAGTTAGGGAAAACTGGGAGCTGAAAGCTCAGAGGTCAGCAGTTGGTGCTGGGAGTGGATTGGAGGAGACTCATGCTTTTCCTGGATGGTGCTTCCCTCTGGATGTCCTCCCTCTCAGCTCCAGGTCACTCACAGACTCTAGATGTGGCTCAGCCCCCACTATCTCCTTTTTGATTGATTCCCTTTTCCTCCCCTCTCCTACCCCTCCTATGCCCTCTGTGCACCTCCTTCCCAACACTTGATCAGGGAGAATCTTAAAACACTCGCTTGTTCACGCTGCTGAACTCAGACACTCGCACTACTGAAACATATCAGGAAAATGCCGGAAGTGTACTGACGGTTCCTGACCCTCAGGGACAGAAGCTCGGGCTGGAGGTTGTAACAGAGGTCCGGCGCCCCTCTGACTTGTCCTGCGTGTGCGATGGATCCATTGGTGGGCTTCCAGGGCACTCTTTCGTTTAAAGGTTTTCCCACACTGGGAACAGGGGAAGGGCCTCTCAACAGAATGGACACGCCTGTGACTGTTGAGGACACACGAAGAGGTAAATTGGTGCCCACACTCAGGGCAGGAGTAGGGCTTCTCCCCTGTATGTGTGCGCCTATGGATAGCCAGAGAGCCACTCTGCCGGAAGCAGCGGCCACAATCAGGGCACTCATAGGGCTTTTCGCCTGTGTGAATGAGCTGATGCTGAAGCAGGTTATTTTGCTGGGCAAAACGGGCACCGCAATGTGCACAAGGGTAGGGGCGCTCACCAGAGTGGACCCGCTGGTGATTGGTCAGGAGGGAGGGGTAGGCAAAGCCCCGACCACAGTCAGAACAGATATGGGGCTTCTTCCTCGTGTGGGTGCGCTGGTGGATAGCCAAGAGCGAAGGATGTGTAAAGTGGCGCCCACACTCAGTACACACATATGGCTTCTCCCCACCATGTCTATGTCTGTGGATGGCCAGGGCCCCCGTCTGGCGGAAGCAGCGGCCACAATCCGGACATGAATAAGGCTTGTCCCCTGTATGAAGCAGCTGGTGCTGGACCAGGTGAGCCCTCTGGGAGAACTGAACCCCACAAGGCCCACAGACATATGGACGGTCTCCAGAGTGGATTCGCCGATGTCTGACCAGCATCGAGGGGTAGGCAAAGAGCCTCCCACAGTCTGGGCAGGAGAAGGGCTTCTCCCCTGTATGTATGCGCATATGAACAGCCAGATTGCCTCTTTGGCGGAAGCAGCGTCCACACTGGTCACAGGGAAAGGGCCGCTCCCCAGAGTGGACCCGCTGGTGGCTGGCTAGGAGGGAGGGGTAGCTGAAAGAATGGCTGCATTCCAGGCAGGGGTAGGGCCTCTTGGGAGTCTCGGTGCACTGGTGTCCCATGTCAGAGGAGACCTGAGGCAATGAATGGCTGCAGTCTCTAAAACCAGGAACCAGCCTGGCCTTCATCAGTGGCCCGTTCTTTACAGGGGGGTCCTCCAGCTCCTTGGTCCTGATTCTACTGCTTGGTTCATTCTTCTTTTTCTTGCTTTCTAAAGAGATGAGAGAATTGAAACCAAAGAGTTGAGTGCCTGCATGCCCCCGCCTGTGTTTTCTCTCACCATGGGGAGATGTAGGTGAAGGGAGCAGCAGTCTGTTTCTCTGGTGTATTCCCTGTTTCAGAGCCCCTGGGTTCATCTAAGGCAGCAGCTCCCCACTCCATGGCCTTCCCCACCCCACTCCCTTCATTTAGGGCTTGGAAAATTACAGTTTTGTCAGAAGGTGACGGACAGTACTGCCTGTCAAAAATAAGCAATCACCTGCCACATTAAAGCCCCTAAAAGTAGGCATTTCAGTAGGGACAGAGATTTCTCAAGGCACTGGAATGGACCACAGGTCAGTGTATACAAAAACAGCAGTCACAGGGGCTCCGGGTGGCTCAGTCGGTTAAGCCTCCAACTCTTGATTTCCACTCAGGTCATGATGTCGAGGTTCGTGAGTTTGAGCCCCACAGCAGGCTCTGTGCTGGCAATGCAGAGCCTGCTTGGAATTCTCACTATTCCTCTCTCTCTGCCCCTCCCCTGCTTGTGCTCTGTATCTTAAAATAAATAATAAATACACGTGCACACACACACACACACACACACACACACTCACACACAGCAGTCACCACCTGGGCCAAAACTAACAATTTCACTAAGTGAA